GAGAGGCTGTTCATAACCCTCAGAGTGACTATCATTTGCTTGCATTTGGGGCTTGCTTCTGCCCTAGTACAGAGTTTCTCAAACTTGAGTCATTCCCTAATCAGCTTAACAACTTCCTCCATACCCATGTACCATCAATAGCAGTTTTGACTTAATACCTCTCTGGGAATTGACTCACTTAGCACAACCATCACTACATTAGCCTTGTCCTCAATGGTATTTGTGAAATCATCAACTTGAGATGCTGGTTATATGTTTTCCAAAGCCTGATAATGTAAATATACAACTCTTAAAAAAAATGCTCATCTGGGTTCCACTTGAAATCATCTTGGTACAACCAAGATGCAAAACAATTAGTTTCAAAGAGACTCAAGAGGCAACCTGAAAGAGCCCCCGATGGCCAAAGCTGGAACAGTTTGAGCAACAAAAGAAATAACAGTACTGGATTATAGCCTCAAGTATAGACTAAATATCCATGAGTCCATACTGATGTAATGAAATGATTGAATAAATAACTAAATGGGTGAGAAGAGATACGTCTTCCTTATAGAAGCATTCCAAACAATTTATCCCTTCCAGGCTGTGGAGCTTAATTCCCCCTCTCCCCCTTGAGTATGGGCTGCACTTAGTGACTTTCTTCCAAAGAGTAGAAAGAGAGGAAAACCAAGTAACTTCACAGGGGAGAAACTGGGCAAACACTAGCTTGGCCAGGTACTGAAGGTGGCCAAGTCATATTGATAGCATGGACCCCTGACATGATGTCATAAGTACCTTACCTCTGTGGCATCCTTCACCAAAACCTATAACCCCAGTTGAGCCAGAGAAGCTCAAATGGAGGGGTACTCTATAAAATATCTGACGAGTATGCCTCAAAACTGTGACAAGGTCATGAAAAAGAAGGAAAGTCTGAGAAACTGTCCTAGGCCAGAGAAGACTAAGAAGACACGTTGACCAAGTGTAATGTAATAACTTGGATGGGACCCTGGAACGAAAAAATGGACATAGTTGGAAAGCTAGTGAAAACCAAGTAAAGTGTAGAGTTTAGTTAATAGGAAGGTTCCAAGGTTGGTTTCTTAGTTGTGACAAATGTGCCATAGTCATGTAGGATGTTAGCAATATGAGAGACTGAGGGAGGGGTCTGTGGGAACTCTGCGCTTCCAGAATCTCTTTACTCTGTATATCAAAGATTTACGTTTATTTTCTGTATAGCTGTTTTAAAATAAGTTTATTTAACAAGAGACGGGGGTTATGTGTACTAGTTTGGAGCGTGATTATTTTTTAAAATTTGTTAAGAGAGGGAGAGGGAGAGGAGGGGAGGGGCGGAGGGAGAGGAAGACAGAGAATCTTAAGTAGGTTCCATGCCCAGCAGAGAGCCTGATGTGAGGCTCGAGCTCGCAACCCTGAGATCATGGCCTGAGCCAAAATCAAGAGGCCAACACTGAATTGACTGAACCACCCAGGCACCCCTGGAGCATGAATTTTTAAGCCATGTAGAACTGTGTATTTGTTTCCTGTGGCTGCTACAACAAATTATCACCAAGCTCGTAGCTTAAAACAATAGGAATGTATTCTTTCATAGTTCTAGAAGCCAGAAACTCAACATTAGTCTTACTGGGCTAACATTAGGTGTTGAGAGGGCCGTGCTCCCTCCAGAGGCTCTTCTACCTTCTGGTGGCTGCATCACTCCAGTCTGCTTCCACAGTTGCACAGGTTTGTCCGGTTTTCTACGCTGTCCTAATCTCCCTCTGCCTCTCTCTTATAAGGTTATTTGTGATGGCAGTTAGTGCCCACTGGGATAATCCTGGATGACTTCCTCATCTCAGCATCCTTAATCACATCTGCAAAGATTCTTCTCCCAAATAAGGTAACATCTATAGGTTCCAGGGATTAGGTCTCTATATCTTTGGGTGGCCATTATTCAGCCTCCTATAGCCTGGCTGTGTGAAATTTAGGACTTCTGTAGTATCAATAAGCCTCCTCTAAAGTGGAAAATAACAGAAACTATATAACTATTTAAAAAATGTTTATCTGGGGCCCACCTGAAATCATCTTGGTATGACTAGGGGGCCCCAAGCCACACTTTGCAGAATGATTGGTGCAAGAGACTGGTCTTAGAAGTCAGACAGACCTAAATTCTAAATCTGCTCCATCATGCACAAGCTTGTGGCCTTGTGTAAGTCAGCACACTCCTTGAAGGGTATTCTCAGCTTTTTTTTTTTTTTAGATTATTTATTTATTTGAGAGAGAGTGAGAACAAGCACGAGCAGGGGCAGAGGCAGAGGGAGAGGGAGAGGGAGAAGCAGACTCCCCACTGAGCAGGGAGCCGGATCCCAGGACCCTGAGATCATGACCTGAGCTGAAGGCAGACACTTAAACCACTGGGCCACCCAGGTGCCCCGCATTCTCATCTTCTGGACAAGAGGGATGCTAAGCCCTGCCTCAGAGGAATGCTGTCAGAACTTGTAGACCGTGGAACAGATGTACAATCTATGTTCAGTCAACTTCCTGTTTGTTCTCCCTCCACTTTATAGAATAATGTTACAGCTCACAAAATATTTTTTATATACAAAAACATGTTTGATCTCCATAAAATTTCACCCTGTGAAATAAAGCCAAATTTTCCTTCCTGTTATGCAGATGGAGAAACTGAGACTTGATGTTAATTGAGTTAGCCAATGGCACTCAACTAGAAGATAGCAGGTGTCTGAGAACACAATGGGCAGGAGCTGAGAGGCAGTGCCCCCTTTAGATGGGGCTGATTTGCCAGTTTGATCCCTTGACCCTTTTTTCATTACTTTCATTACTTTTCTAGCCCTTGTAGGCATTTGAATTTATGACCCATGATGTGTTTCTAACTCCTGGCTCACGTTGCTGGAATTTGATCAAAAATCTTTGGACTTGAAGCTCTGAAGCCATGCTCATAGGATTCCCCCTGGCCCTGGCTTCTCAGATCTCACAGGCTTACTCTTCTCTAGACTGGATGAGACAGACTCATAGTTTGTCCCCTGGTTTGGCCAGGTTCCTGGTTTTGATAGCTCCTTATTGTGAGTCCTTGAAGCAGAGACTCAAGCAGGACCTTCAGGATGCAGGGCCCAGTGTAGATAGGGTTGGGCGTCCTGAAGCCGACCAGAGAGGCCTGTTGGGGGCTCGATCTCGCAACTCTGAGATCATGACCATGGTCTGCCCTCAGAGGTCACACAGAGAGGGCCAGAGTCTGGGTTGAGGGCCCCAGAGCTAGACTGCCTGGGTTCCAATCCTCATTCCCTCACCTGGTTCCACCACAGCCCGCTGACCCTGGTCACCAACCCTTCTGTGCTTCGGCTTCCTCCTGTGATAAAGGAAATCATTATAGACTGTCAAAGGAAAAGTATGAGGCTCAAGTGAATTAGTGTACATGACGCTTTTATCAGTGCTTGGTACAGGTGAGTGTTCACCCGAGTCCCCGCCGAGCCCAGGGAACCGTAAGCACATCGCTGCGCGGGCCGGTTCTCTCTTCCTGACTCGCTCCTCTGCTGGAGAAATGTGATTCCTCCCGAGGACCCGTGCAGGTCACGGAGGAGGCGAGGAGCCCGGGGTCGGGAGGTTCTGGGGCTCTTATCACTGTGGATCCTGACGTGAGTCCTCCCCAGTCTCCCAGTCATTCCCAGTCGGTACGAGGGGGTGACAAAAGGGCCGAGCCCGCAGCGGGGACTCTCAAACACACTCACCGCTCCGCGGCCCGGCTGGGAGCTCCAGGTCGCAGGCACTGGGGCGCGGGGGGGGGGGGGCCCGGGCAGAGCATCCTGCCTGGCCGCGGCTGCCATGGCAACACCCGGAGGCTGCGGCGAGGGAGAGGAGGGGCGGGGCCGCCGCCCAGTCCAGAACGAGGCCCCGCCCCCGGGACGAGGCTCCGGCCGAGGCCCCGCCCCCCCCCCGAGGCTCCACCCTGGACGAGGCGCGGGGCCTCTGTCCCGTGATCCCGCGGCAGTTGTGCGGTTCTGGCTGGTTCCATCAGTGCCTGGCGAGCTGCATCTGACTGACCGACTGTGATTGACTACAGACGCCATCACTGCTTGATAATCCGTCTGTCTGGCTGTGTTTGACGGAACCCAGATTTCATGGGTGCCTGAGGGCCCAACAGCGTGTGATCTGTCTGCCTGACCACAGCTGACTGACGGACTGCCCACACCTGGCTGAAGGCATCCGGGCCTGACAGGGCGCGTCTGGCTGCCCAGACCCTTTCGGTGTTCGACAAGCTGTATCTGACTGACTGAGGCCCCCGGTGTCCGACTGACCAGCCTTCTGACAGATCGCTCTGTGCAGTGGTTTGACCACATTCTGCTCAGTGGGCTAAGCCGCCCGAGACTGGCCAGAGACTGGCCGGCCGATTGGACTGCACCTGGGCCGGAGCGCTGCTGCGGCCACCGCCGGAGTCCCACCCCCTGTCTGGCTGGCCTCGGGAGACTTGCTGACTGCCCTGACCCGGCGGGCCTCAGCACCGCCTCGTGTTTGCTGGAGCCGGCCCGGCTGGGCATCTGGAAGGTTGGATCAGCCCGCCTGATGTGTGGGCTGACCGCATCTGCCAGACTGCGCGGCTGGCTTTGCATGGCTGGCTGATTCTGGCCGACCATCTGAGTCTAGCTGCATCCCAGGGACTGGGTTCCTGGGTGAGTGAGTCTCCCTGACTGTCCCTCCCTGGCCACCTGTGTGACTCTGCCTGACCGAGAGCGGCCGTGTCCGACTCCACCTGCCCGCCTGCCGTGATGGCTGACCTGGCCCGCCCCCAACAGATGCGGTGGAATCACACTGCCGGCCTGCCGTGCACCTGACCAACCGACTCTGACTGCCTTGGCCCCTGAAATTCTCTCCCTGACTACTGGCCACTTTCGCTGCAGCTGCCCAACCAATGGCTTCTGGGGGTGTCACTTGTCCAGGGGCCTAGACATTTTCAGCTACAAGTCTGGGCTTTGGGGTGTGGGGTCCAAAGCAAGGGTACTGACAGGGGAAGAAGCCCAAGAGGCCTGTGGGGGAGCCAGGCAGCAGAAGCAGGACTCACGGCCAGGTAGGGAGCCGCTGGAAGAAGCTGCAGGGGTCCTCAAGGCCCTTGAGCTCAGGGATCGAATTCTGTAACAGAGTCAGCACCTTGAGGAGTTGGGCTGGTGTTTGGGGGCCTCCAGGCAACAATGCACGACCCTGAAACTTTGTCCATGTTTGGGAGATATCTTTGTCAGTTCCTCACTCTGCAGAAAGGGCATCCCACAGGCCTCAGACCTCCTCCCGACTTTCTCATAGTTTGTGTGTGTATGTGTATGTGGACTGGCCACATCAGCCACATGGAATGGAAAGAGAGGCTGTGTACCAGAGTAAGGGGGAAAGAAACACGGGGAATTCGATTAGAGGGAATAATAATTTTTTGAAAAGGAAGCATGTCAATTGCATGGGTAGGCTATGATTTATAGTTATTGTTACTAATAATGAATGAGAGCATTGGATTTGCTTATCTTGATTGAGCTCTAGCATTCTGAGATGCTGCCTTTCCATTAATAACAAAGGCCTGGCTGCCTCATTGATTTCATTTTAAGCAAAGTGAGGCATGGGAGGAAATAAACAGCTGCATTCCCAAGTGTTCTATTTTAGTCAGCTTGGGCTGCTATAGCAAATTACCGACGGGGGGTGTGGGGCGGGGGCGTTAAAAAACAGACATTTATTTCTCAAAGTTTTGGAGGTTGGAAAGTTCAAGATCAAGGTGCAGGCTGACTTGGCTCCTGGTGAGGCCCTTTTCCTGGCCTGCAGACAGCTATCTTTCTGCATTGTCCTCACATAGTAGAGAAAGAGCTCTCGTCTCTTCTTATAAGGACACTAATCCCATCATGGGGGGCCCTACCCTCATAACCTCCTCTAAACCTAATTACCTCCCAAAGGCTCCACCTCCAAATACCATCACCTTGAGGGGAGGGGAGGACTTCAATATATGAATTTTGGGAAGACACAAACATGCAGTTCATAGCAGGCTCTCACAACATGAAGTTGGCTCTCTGCCAGTGTGGGTAGTGGGGCTTCCCCACTACTGACCGCATTGGAATCTCAACTCTAGTACCTAAGAGCTGTGTGATTTTGAACAAGTCAACGAATCTTTCTGTGCCTCGATTCTGTCATCAGCAAGATCCATATAATTATAATTGCTTTAAATTATTGTTGTGAATCTTAAGTCCTATGAAGAGCTTAGCATATAATTTCCATTCTAAGAATATATCCTGTGGATCTCTTCCAGCACAAGCTGAATGATGTATGTTCAGGATATTCATTGATGCATTGTTTAGAAAAGAAATACCCTAAATATCTGTCCATGGGGGACTAATTTAATAAATCATGGTCTGCCATACAAAGAATGAGGCAGCTCTTTATATACTCATATGAAAAGATCTCCAGAATTTCCCAGTTAAAAAAACCAAAATGCAGAAGTATGTCCAGTATGCTCCCATCTGTTGTAAAGAAAAAGAGACTTTCTAGAATCTTTATCTATGTATAGGTTTTCTCTGGAAGGCTACACAGGAAACTGGTGACAGTGGGAAAAGAAATGGATAGCTGAAAATAGGAGAAGGAGGGAAACTTATTTTTACCATACATGCATCTTTTTATGACTTAAAATTTGCAATATGTATATGCATTTCCTATTCACAAAAAACTGAAGTTTTAAGAAAGTGGGGAGTGCTCAGCATAGTGCCTGGCAGCAAAGGTAGTGATGATGGCCATTTCACAGCTCTGTGGGGATGATTCATTGCGGAAATGCAGCCCAGAGATATCTGGCATGTGCCCACAGCCTCTCCTCTCCTCCTCTCCTCCTTTCATTCTCAGCTGGCCCTGCCGCCCCATCAGAGAATTCTCGCATTTTGAGATGTAAAGTGGCTTCAGGATTCTCTGGTATAACCCTTTTATTTTATTTTTAAAAAATTTTTAGAAAGATTTTATTTATCTGACAGAGAGAGACACAGCAAGAGAGGGAGCACAAGCAGGGGGAGTGGGAGAGGGAGAAGCAGGCTTCCCGCTGAGCAGGGAGCCTGATGCGGGCTCGATCCCAGGACCCTGGGATCATGACCTGAGCTGAAGGCAGACGCTTAACCGACTGAGCCACCCAGGCACCTCGTAACTCTTTTATTTTAAAGATGAGGAAACCAAGCCCCAGAGAGAGGCCATAACCAGCCCAAGGTCATCCAGAAGATTGGGGCTCAATGTAGGGACTCTTTCAAAACATCATAAGCCTAAACTTTCTGAAATTTTGCTTTTACTCCGTCGCTGCTCTGCTCAGGAAATGTCATGACTCCTCAGCCTGGCTGTTCACACTGGTCGTGGTTTAACCTTCAACGAAACTTTCTGACTTTATTTCCCATCTTCTCTGATGTGAATTCTTTCTCTACCCTTGCCGGATAGATCTCTTCATGGACCCCCAAATGTTCCTGCTTTTCAGACACCACAGCTTGTCAGTGCTATGCTCTCTGCCCGAAATGCATTTCTCCTTCCTGTCCATTTGGGGAGAATCACAGCTAAATTGTACTTCCTCAAGGAAGTCTTCCCTGATTGCCCAAGCTCACAGAGCTCTCTCCTCCTAAACTAATTAAAAAATGTCTTGTAAAACGTGTGCTTCTTAAGGGGGAAATAGGATGCTCCTTGAGCAATGGGAAGAGGATTGGATACAGCCAGTTCCCCATCCTGACTCTCCATGCCTGGAGAAAATTGGGCAAATGACCTTGGCCCTCATTTTCTCAGGGAAGCCCTGGGTGAGGATGCCACTGAGCGTTGCTGAAGCCAGGATCCCGGGGCAGGAATGAACTGCTAGGCCTGTTTCCACCCTGATGTTTACTTGGCCTGAAGGCCCAGCATGATGAAACCCAGCCCTGTTGCTGAGCACCTTGGGAGGCCTCCCTCCAGGGTCCTTCTGTGCTCAGACAGTGGCTCTTTGTGGAGCAGAGAAGTAGAACTGAAAGTGGAGCCTCTGGAACACCCGCCCCCCCCAACCTCTAGCCACCCCTACTGGCAACTGTGGACCATCCTGTGCCTGGGTGGCCTCTGTTTGAAGTCCATGGCTGGTGGCTGGCAGAGTGAGGTAGGGTCTCTAGGTGGCCAGCTAAGCTGGGCGGGTGAGAAAGGATCCTGTCTAACGCAGCATCTCTTAACTCACCAGAGGCTGCTTCTAATGGAGCTCTCTGAAGAGGAGACTGGTCCCCCTACAGGCCAGATTGACGCCTTCCCCATCCTGTCACCACTGAATATGCCCCTGGGACTTAGGGCTGGACCTTCTGATGTGGTCTGTCCCTTCTGGCCCTATTTCACTGGATCCTACACTTACTCCGGGTGGGAGCAAGGGAGGGAGGGGAGATTGGGCATCCTTAAATGTAATCTCAAACCTGGCGGGGTAGGGACCAGGGGGAGGGACGACAGGGAGGAAGGTAGTGTGGTATGGTGAAAGGGCTCCCACCATTCTGGAGGGTGGGAGGCTTAGGACTCCGGTTTCTGTTGAGCCACTGACTTGCTGGGTGACATTAGCTAGTGCTTCCCTTTTCTGGGCCTCTGTTTCCCTAGTTGTGCTTCACTTTCTCAGCTGCAAAATCAGGGAGGCAAAGTAGATGGATGTCAAGAGTTTTTGCAGTTCTGACTTTTCATAATTCTGTGATCGCAGGGAGGAAAGGGAAGGGCCGGGGGTGGGTTGGAGGTGGGTAACTGACACAGAGCTCCCTGTTGATTCACCAGCGGTCGCTAGGCAGCCTCTTCTCTGCCTCCAGGATCCCCTCTGCCCTCCGTTTCTCCCCCTCTCCTTTCCCCTGACTTTGAGGACTTCTTGTGATGAGATCTAGAAGCTGTTTGATTTAGATTTGTCTTATCCCATCTTTTGCCCCCCAGAGGAGGGGGCTGTGCACAGAGCAGGAAGGGGGTCAGGAGACAAAAGAGAGAGAATTAAGAGGTAAGAGTGGGATGCAGGGAAGTGTCAGAAGAGAGCTCAGCGACAGCTGAGAGAAAGGAAAAAGGAAAGGAGACCTGGTGAAAGAGGGGGAGTAGAAGGGAGAGGAGCTAAAAGTGAGAGAAATGAGGCCCCCAGGAGATGGCGAAAGGGAAGTTATGAATGGAAGAGAAAAACAGGAAGAGACCATGGGAGAGGACCACAGCCTGGGCCAACACACGCATGTGGGGGCATCCCAGGCTATTCTAGGACAACAAACAGGCCAGTCTGGCTGGAGCTAAGAGTATGTGTAGTGGGGGCACAACATTAGAACTGGATCGAGAAGGTCTTGAACGCCAGGCTAATGACTTTGGTCTTTATATTTACTATTTTCTGCTGTCCAATCCCCTGTGATAAACTGGATGAGGCCCAAGGACTGTTTTCATTCATCCATCCATTCAATAAGGGATGTCTTATCCAACTCTGGATCCCCAGAGCATAGCACAATGTCTGCACAGAAAAGGGTCAGGAAATGTCTGTTAAAATTGAGCACTTGAAAAGAAGTGGAGCACTTGGAGAAAGCAGGGCTTAGGCAATCTCGCAGAGAATATAAGAATACCTGTAGTACGAGCTAGGCAGCCTAGGAGAGTCCAGATAAGAGTTATGACAGATCAGAGGAGAGCAAGATAGCCCTCCCTGCCACCCACAGCAGGAGAGTCCCAGAGAAGATTGTAGGGGGGGTCAGCTTTGGTCACATACCCAACCTGGAATTAATCCATGTGGCCAGGAAGATAGATTCCACTGGAGGATACAAGGTTCTGTGTATGAGGAGAGAGCAAAGAGTTCTCCAGAGGAAGGGGGTTGGATTATTACCCGGTGAAGAGAATTTAGGACTGGGCCCAGCTGTCACAGCCCAGTGTCATGGGAAAAGATGAGGCATGAACGGGGAGCCGTGAGTAGGGTCGACGTCTGCATAAGGTTGGTAGGTGCTGGAAATAGAAATAGAGACAAATCACAGAGGGCCTCAGATACCAAGCTGAGGAGTTTGGATTTCTCTCTTGAGCTGAAGAAGGTCCTCATTGGAACTGTGCTTTGGGAAAATTAACCAAGCCACTGAGGTATAGAACGGACTGGAGGCCAGAAGACCGGCTACGAATGGGAAATTATTCCAGTACCTTCTCTGATAAAACATATGTGCAAGATCCTTCAGCCACATTGGGGTGCTTTACATTGTAACTTGGTTTTTTGTTGTTGTTGTTGTTCTGCCCATTCTAGGTCAGAGAACTGCAAAGGCCAGAGGTCATACTTCTGCCAAAAGGTACTGCCCTTTCTTCCTCCAAGGGCCACAACCAGTTCACCTGGGAGATGGATGCTCCGGAGGTTTACAGGGGCAGATGAACACTTGTAAAGTGTTCCATCTTTGAAGATTGGTGGACAGTTTGTAGCGGATCTGCAGCCCCAGTCTCTGGACCTGGCATATGAGGGAAGCAGCTCCGAGTAATCTTAACAAGTGACTTCAGGCTCCTGCTTTTGAGCTGGGGGTGGCCCAGCCTGTAGCCCAGAGTCAGCTCTCTCCTTTCCCAAGTATCTCTGCAAAAGAGGATGCTATAGCATGGCCTAGTGTGGAGCATATGACTTTGGAGTCAGACATCCTTGGCCTTGGTTCTCAGCTGTGCTACCTCTTAGCTCTGGAACTCTGAGTAAATGATGTAAGTTATCTGGACTCTTGTTTCCTTCTATGTAAAATGGGGGTAGTAATACCAACCATACAGAGTCATGAGGGTTGAATAAGCTACTGAAATCACTTGGCACAGTGCCACACAAACCACAGGCACTGGGCCAGTGTGAATTCCTATTCGGTTTTTAGTAACAGAGCGAGGTACTGTTAGAGCTGGAGGGGTCTCAGAAATTACTGGCCCAGTCCTCTCATTTTACAGTGGTGAGCCAATCTAGGTCACTCCTGTTGCAATATCTGCTGATTCTGTCTTCATTAGAAGCAGAGAACTGACATCCCTCTTCTGCCTTTAACCACATAAATCCTTTATGAGTTCTATACCTGTCCATAGAATGATATTTTGACTCCTCCATTTTTCCCCAAGAACATTTGCCCATCATTTGCTCTCTGTTCTGCCAAAGGTATGATCAATTAGTGTACCATACTCAAAGTGTTAGGAACATGTGGGAGGATTGTATTAGCAACACAGTAGGGGAATTCTAAACAAATTCAGCAATCCTGGAATATCTTAAGGAAGTTGATCATAATTACTCTTGGATAAGCTAAAAAATAAATAGTTATTCGTATTTTTTTAGGAATACAGATTGTTATTTTTATTGTGGCGAAATAAACGTAATCTAAAATTTACTCTTTTAACCATTTTAAGGGTACAGTTTGGTGGCATTTAAGTACATGCACAATGTTATATGACCATTACCTCTATTTCCAGAACTTTTTCAACAACCCAAGCAGAAATTCTTGACCCATTAAATAAATAATAACTACTTCCCTCTCAGTCCCTGGTAGGCTACTTTTTTTTTTTTAAAGATTTTATTTATTTGTTTGACAGAGAGAGACACAGCGAGAGAGGGAACACAAGCAGGGGGAGCGGGAGAAGGAGAAGCAGGCCTCCCGCTGAGCAGGGAGCCCAATGTGGGGCTCGATCCCAGGACCCTGGGATCATGACCTGAGCTGAAGGCAGATGCTTAACAACTGAGCCACCCAGGCGCCCCCTTATTCTACTTTTGGTCTCTGTTAATTTGCCTATTTCTAGATAGCTCATACAGGCGGAATCATACAATATTTATCCTGTTGCATATATCTGGCTTCTTTGATTTAGCATCATGTCTTCAAGGTTCATCCCAGTTGTCGCAGGTATCAGAATTTCATCCCTTTAAATAGCTGAATAATATTTCCTTCTATGGATATGCCATATGTTCTTTGTTCATTCATCTATAGATGGACACTTGGGTTGTTTCCACCTTTTGCCTATTGTGAGTAATGCTGCTAAGAATATTAGCCTACAAGTAACTATCAATATTTTTTCCAATCTATAATGAATGGAACTGTAGTAGGCTGAATAATGCCTCCACCCCCAAACTGATTGGGTCCACTCAGATTTGTGTTGGCCTCTAAGTGGGCCCCAGGCTGTCCTTCTCCATGATCTCTGCCATGGCCCTCTAAGATAGGCCTAATCTTTCTGGAGAACATCTGCAGCACACTCGTACTGGCCTTCTATTTCCACTCCTACCAGTCCATTCTCTACCAGCTGTCACAGTGGTCTTTCTTTATTAAATATGAAATGTATAAATTGTTACAAAATAATTCAGATACACCAAAAAGCATAGTGCATGTCATTTCATAACCATGAGAATGACTATAATGAAAAAGAGAGGCAATAACAAGTGTTGGTGAGGATGTAGAGAAATTGAACCCTCACATATTGCTGGTGAGGTTTTAACATGGTGATGTTGCTTTGGAAGTTCTTCAAAAAGTTAAACATAGTTACCACATGACCCAGCAATTCCACTCCTAGCTATATGCCCAAGAGAAAAACACAGAGAAGTTCATAGTGTCATTATTCATAATAGCCAAGTGGAAACAACCCAAATGTATATCAACTGATGAGTCGGTAACCAAAAATGTGGTATATACGTACAAGGGAGTATAATTCAACCATAAAAGAAATAACATACTGATTCATGCTACAACATGGATAAATCTTGAAAACATTATGCTAAGTGAAAGAAGCCAGCCACAAAAGACCACATGCTGAATGATCCATTTATATGAATGCATAGAGAGAGACAGTGGGATTAGTGGTTGCCAGGCTGGTAGGAGGGGGGGAATGGGGAGTGACTGTTAATGGATATGAGGTTTCTTTTGGAGTGATGAAAATGTTCTGGAATTACAGTAGTGATGGTTGCACAACCTTGTGAATAAACAAAAAAACCACTGAATTACACACTTAAAAATGATGCATTTTATGGTATGTTAATTATATATTGAGAAAAATTATAGTGCAGAGTAGTGCACACTCATGTGCATACTACCCAGCTTAAGAAACAAACTGTTACAGATGAAATTGCAGCTTCCTGTGTACCCCTGCCTGGTCCCATTCCCCTCCTTCTCTACCCAGAGGTATCCACTACCCTGAAGTTTATCCTGGCAATAAATGCCTTTATAACTTTTACTACATGTATGAGTATCCCTAAACAATATATACTATTGCTTTGTCTAGTATAAAGTTTTATATAAATGATATAAGTTGTATCTTCCGCATTATACTTTTTTCTACCAACATTATATATATGTTTTAAAATATTTTATTTATTTATTTGACAGAGAGAGACATAGCGAGAGAAGGAACACAAGCAGGGGGAGTGGGAGAGGAAGAAGCAGGCTTCCCGTAGAGCAGGGAGCCCGATGTGGGACTTGATTCCAGGATCCTGGGATCATGACCCAAGCCGAAGGCAGACGCTTAACAACTGAGCCACCCAGGCGCCCCTATCAACATTATATTTTTGAGAATTATCCAAATTAATTTTATGTGTCACTCTGACTGGGCCACAGAGGGCCCAGGTATTTGGTTAGATATAATTCTAGGTTTGTCTGTGAGAGTGTCTGCATGAGATTAACATGAGTCAGCAGACTGAGTAAAACAGATTGCCCTCCCCCGTGCGAGCAGGCCTCATCCAGTCCACTGAAGGCCTGAATGGAACAAAAAGGCAGAGTAAGGGAGAATTTGCTCTCTCTGCCTGGATGCCTTCCAGCTGGGACATTGTTCTTCTCCTGCCTTTGGACTCAGACTCAGACTGGAACTTAGACCATCGGTTCTCCTGGGTTTCCAGCTTGCCACCTGCAGATCTTGGGACTTGTCAGCCTCCAAAACCACGTGAGCCAATTTCTTATTATCTATCTATTATTGGTTCTGTTTCTTGAGAACACAGACTAATACATTCTGTGATTTTTGTGTCTTGTTTAAGAACTCCTTGCCTACCCCGAGGTCCAAAGATTGGTCTTTAGTTACCTCCAAAGATTTTAAAGTTTTGCTTTTCAAATTTAGGTCTTTAATCCACTGAAGGTTATTTTTGTGTATGCCATGAGGTAGGAATCCAATTTTATTTTTTTCCAAATGAATAACCAATTGTTCCGTATCATTTTAAAAGTAATCCAAAAGTATTAGTTTCCTAGGGCTGTCATAACAGATTACCACACACTGGTGGCTTAAAACAACAGAAATTTATTCTCTCACAGTTCAAGAGGCTAGAGTCCAAATTTTAAGATGTCAGCAGGGTCAGTTTCTATTGGAGGCTCTAAGGGAGAAAACACCCCATGCCTTTCTCCTAGCTTCTGGTGGTTGCCTGCCATCCTTGGAGGTTCTTTGGCTTATAGACATATCGCTTAGTCCCTATCTCCATCTGCACCTTCTCTGGGTGTCTGTATATCTGCTTTTCTTATTAGGAGACCAGTCATTGGATTTGGGACCCATTCAAAATCCAGGATGAGTTAATCTTGAGATCCCTAACTAATCCCTTCTACAAAAACCCTATATATCCAAAAAAGATCATATTCTGAGGTTCTGGGTAGGTATGAATTTTGTGTGTGTGTGTGTGTGTGTGTGTGTGTTGGGGGTCGGGGGAGACACTTTTCAATCCACCACCACATCATTTGCTATTCTTTTGTAAATGTCATTTCTGTCCTATATCAAATTTCTCTATAGGTGTGGGCAGGGTGATAATTTTGTAGTGCCATTTTAAGTCCTTGATGAAATGGTTATACATTTTTCATGAGATAATCTTATTTAATCCTCACAACAGTCCATGAGGTAGGGAGCGAACTGTTCATCCACTGTAGGGAGCGAACAGGCGCATTATGTCGTGATGGCAAATAGCGCCCAGATCTCACTGTCTGACAACAACAAAGCTTCCTCCCTCACATTAAACATCAGTAGCTGTGGTGTGGCTGTAAGGTGGTTGGAGTGCTGCTCTGTGTGTTTTTTCACTTTAGGATTCAGGCTGAGGGCACAGACCCTATCCAGGACATGCCATTCCAATGGCAAAGATAAAACACTATGCTTTTAGACCAAAACACACAGTGGCTCTTCAAGTTTCTGCTTAGAACTGGCATATAATCTCACCTGCCCACATTTCATTGGCCAAAGGAGGTCATGTGGTCAAGCCTCATGTGGAAGGGTACTCCTTCCTCTGGAGGGTACTCAAATCACATGGCAACTGGCTAGAATTAGCCAGTTTTCCCCCCCTGGAAGGGGGAAAGCAAATAACGGGAATAACAATATCTCTACTGAAGGTATCAAGTAACGTGTCCAAGGTCAAACAGCTGAGAAGGGGCAGAGGCAGGATTCAAACTCAGACCATCTTTCTCCAAAGCCACAGTGCACTCCATGGCTCCCTATTGCCTGCTTGATGGAGTCAAAATGTATGTAAGCTTTAGGGCTTCTGCGTGTGCATTCCTGAAGCCTGGAGTACCCCTCTGCCACATCTGCATGTTCAACTCACTCTTTTAAAAAATATTTTATTTATTTATTTGACAGAAAGAGAGAACACAGGCAGAGGGAGAAGCAGGCTTCCTGCTGAGCAGGGAGCCTGTTGCAGGGCTTGATCCCAGGACCCTGGGATCATGACCTGAGCTGTAGGCAGATGCTTAACCAACTGAGTACCCCCCAGGCGCCCCTGTTCAACTCACTCTTTAAAGCTCTGCCCCATTCTCAACTCCGTGTGCTTCTCTCCTCAGAATTAATCACCATGTGCCCCCCTCACTCTTTTAAGTGTATATTACTTTGTACTCACACTTTTATCCCCTCTGAAGGGTGGGGATACACTCTTTTTTGTCATGTGTCCCTTCTGCCTCCCAGGCCTTGCACAAGTGTCTCTTAAATGTTTGCAGCATTTGGGGATGAGATGAGTTGGGGGCACAGGCTGCAATTGGGAGGTGCTCTTGGGAATGAGAGCACTTGGCCTACTTTTCCACCCCTCTAAACTAAGCTTAGCACCTGGTGCTCCGGTGACTGGCAGTTCAGCTCCACGTGACTCATCCTGTAAGCCTTCACCCCCGTCACCTCAAGGCCCTGGGCTGGGGTGTGTGTGCTGGTGGTGTGTGTGTATGGGGGCGGGGAAGAGGTGGGAATTAACTTTTGCCTTCCTTCCCTTTCTCTGCCCCAGGAAAAGGACAAGTAAAAGTCCTTCTCTTAAGTGAGTGGGGGAAATCCCTCCCCATGAGAACTAGGACTGGGGAGGCCCCCGAAGGTACAGAAGAAGGAGGAAAGAACTGCTGGGTCAGAAGAGAGGAACAGAGAACCGGAAAGAACGCTGAACTGCACATTGAAAGACGTTACCAATTTGTCAGAGTGATTAAACTTAACCTCTCTGTGGCCCCTGGTATAAATTGGAGACCGTACTGACTTGCCCTCCTCCCTAAGTTGTTGCAAAATTACATAGTAAAATGCTAGAAGCCTTTAGGACTGCAGCCTCGAATGCACAAAGACTTATATTAGAATCCCCCTCATAAGCTGTGCAACAGTGGGAAAATTGTGTATCTCCATGAGCCACAGTATCCCTGCCTATAAAATGGGCATAATGATTATAGCTTCCTCCCAGTGTGAGAAAATTGTGTCAGGTGCTAAGCATATAGTGCCCAATCATATTGGTTGTTTTCATATGAGATGATGATACTTGTTATTTAAGGAAAAGACCACATCAGGTGTCATTTGCGAACATTATGAGGAGGGAGACAGAGTCTAACTTTTCCTAGAACCGGTTGCTTCCTTGAGCCAAGTATGGGGTGTGGCTCAAAGGAATGAGGAAAAGGTTCCTGAGGTGACAACACACAGAACGCTGTTTGTCCTCACAGAACTTGGGGGAGGGGTAGAGTTGTCAGCTGGCCTTCCCCAAAGACCAAAGGCCCTGCCCCCTACTCCCGCCCCTACAGATGCAGTCCGTGGACTTCTTCTTTTTTTTTTTTTTTTAAGATTATTTATTTATTTATTTGAGAGAGAGAGAGAATGAGAGATAGAGAGCACGAGAGGGAAGAGGGTCAGAGGGAGAAGCAGACTCCCCGCTGAGCAGGGAGCCCGATGCGGGACTCGATCCCGGGACTCGATCCCGGGACTCCAGGATCATGACCTGAGCCGAAGGCAGTCGCTTAACCAACTGAGCCACCCAGGCGCTCAGTCTATGGACGTTTTGTCCTCTCCTGCTAATCTCTTCATCTGGCCTGGGGAGGCTGTCTGTGTAATCATACTAATAACAATAGTGATGAGACCAAGGATATTGTTACTTTGAAGCTTGTAAAGGCTGTCTAATATATTATCTTAGCCATCCTTCATAATCTTGCTCCCATAAAAAGAAAACAGAGTTAGAAGGAACTTGGGGATTATTCTGCGCTTCAGAGACGGGAAAACTGAAATCCAAAGAAGGGAAGGGATTTACCCCAGCGCAAACAGTAAGTTAAAGGCAGAGGTAGGACCAGAACCTGTAGGGCCCGACTCCCAGCACAGTGGCTGCGCTCCTCTGGTGACACACCTGTTCTTGTTTTCCATTCTTACTGCCCACTGCAGTGGTTCCTAACTGGTCCTCCTGGCCTTGGGGCCCTCCACGTCAGTTTGTTCTGTACATACAGAATGAAAGTTGTCTGGAAGCATGACTTTGATCTTGTCTTTTCCCTAACTAATAGAACTTGTCCATTTGTCAACTTGAAGGGTCACCTGGTTCCTAGTTCAGCCTCCAAATCAAGACCCAGTCTCTCTTCTGACAGGAAATCAAATGTTGCTGATTAGATTGATTATGAAGACTGGCTTTCCTATTTATATTATGTGTTGGGCGTTCTCTTTTCTTTTTGAAAATGTTTATATTTAAATTCCAGTTGGTTAACCTACAGTGTAATATTAGTTTCAGGTGTACAACATAGTAACTCAACACTCTCTACAACACCCAGTGCTCATCACAACAAGTGTGCTCCTTAATCCCCAGCACCTATTTCACCCATCCTGCCACCCACCAACCCTCTGGTAACCATCAGTTCTCTATAGTTAAGAGTCTGTTTCTTGTTTTGCTTTATCCTCTCTCTCTTTTCCCTTTGCTCTTTTATTTTGTTACCTAAATTCCACCTATGAGTGAAATCATGTTATTTGTCTTTCTCTGACTAATTTAGCATAATACCCTCTAGCTCCATCCACATCATTGCAAATGGCAAGATTTCATTCATTTTTATGGCTGAGTAATATGCCACATCTTCTTTATGCATTCATCAGTTGATGGATATTTGGGCTATTTCCATAATTTGGCTACTATAGATAGTGCTGCTATAAACACTGGGGTGCATGCATTCCTGTGAATTAGTACTTTTGTATTCTTTGGGTGAATACCTGGTAGTGTGATTGCTGGATTGTAGGGTAGTTCTATTTTTAACTTTTTGAGGAACCTCCGTACTGTTTTCCAGAGTGGTTGCACCAGTTTGCATTTCCAGCAACAGCGTAAGAGGGTTCCCCTTTCTCCACATCCTTGCCAACACCTGTTGTTTCCTGTATTGTTAATTTTAGCCATTCTGACAGGTGTGAGGTGATATCTCATTGTAGTTTTGATTTGCATTTCCCTGACGCTGAGTGATGTTGAGTATCTTCTCATGTGTGTATTGGCCATCTGGATGTGAAGACCCAGTCTCTTTGAATATGCTTATTGGCAGGGAGCTCATCACTCCCAAGGTCGTCCATTTCATTCTTGGATAGCCATGACTGTTCATGAGTTCTTTACAGTGAGCTGAAACTGTCCTCCCTGATGTCCACCCACTGGAGCTGAGTGGGATTCTTTCATACCCATTCAGTCAGCAAGTTTGTAGTCAGTGTTTATTATGGGCCAGGTCCTGGGTGAACTAGGTGCC